AACTAACAGCCTGTTTGCATGCCGATGGGGATGATACAGTAGAGAGCGGGGAACGATGACTCGATGACTCGGGAGAGAGGGGAGAGAGTGGTGAAGCCATGTCCTCACGGAGAGAGGGGATGAGAACCAGGGCACGGGGGAGGAGGCCAGCCTTAGCTGGGAATGGGACAATCACTCTATCACCATAGGAGGGAAAATGGAGTCTATGGGTCCTGGGTCAGGGGATTGGGTAGATCTGGTGGTGGAAGCTCATAAAAGTTCTCTTCAGACTCTTCCAATTCTCAAGGTTGTAGAAAGCAAGGTATCAGCTGAGGGTGGGCTGGGGGAGGCCACACTGGAGATCTGAAAAGAGCAGTAAGATACAAAGTCATTGAGTAGGGCAGGAGGGGAGTAAATGGAAGGACGATTGCTGAGGAGTACTCTGGGCCACTGGAGAGTTCAGTGGTCGTGAATATGGACACAGACCAGTCAGCACTTTAGACTTTCAGTTCCCTGAATTCTGAGTTTTATTTTTTCTATTTATTCGTCTTGGTCTTTCCCAATTTTGCTGTTGATTTTGCAGAAATATCTGGTGGTCTGTGGTGGCCCATTCAGGATTGAAGTGAAGGGCTGGATTAATTCATGTTGGTGACTGAAGACACACTCTTCAGATAGAAAGCACCACTCCCTCCGCCACCAAGTGCTGAATAGACTGAATGGAGAAAAAACCACAACTACACACTTCATGGTCAGGTTTCAGAACACCAAGAATGAAGAGACAATTTTAAAAGCTTCAGGCACAAAAAAATAAGTGATGACAGCAGTAGAGGTTGTCACCTGCCAAGGAATGTCATATCACAGTGTCATCAGCAACCCGGGGTGCTAGAAGACAAACAGCAAGCCTTCAAAGTCTCAGAATTTGAGACCCAGCTCAGCTACCAGTGCAGAGTGATGGTAAGATAAGCACATCTTTTGCAGCACTTATGATGAATTCTAACAAAATAAGGGAATAAACAAAGAAAGACAAGAGCCAAGAAGTAGTGAATTCATCTCAGGAGGGGAGTGAAAGCGAAGTCCAGGATGGAGGTTTGCTTTTAATAACCTCATTGTACACCTCTCCTGAGGTCCTACTGTCTTTACCTTGTGCATTTATTCCTTTCACAACCAACTTTGTTTAAACAACTGTTTACTGTTTACTTCTCACATCATCAAAATTCTGAACACTATAACTTTTCCTCCTTTCTCCTCTCATATGGCTTGAAGTGTTAGAAAAATAGTTATGCTTAATTCTGTATTGAGTTTTCACGTTAAGCCTCTTTCTTTTTCATATTATCAAAAATATTTAGATTTAACCGTTTATAACTGGTTTCATTTTCCATCGTTTCTCCTCTCATAAGATGCTGCTTTACTACAGAAGCTCTCTTCATTTAATTTGTTTTATTTTAATTTCTTTGTCATTTAGCTGAATACCTTCAGCCATCTATGTTTTTCAGACAGAGTTCATGGGCCATATATTTTCCAAGTCCTCGTGTGTCCAAAACTGTCTTTTTGTGACTTGCACACATTGATAATATATGCAATTGGTGCGATTTCTAGGGTTATACATTTTCCCTTTCTGACCTCTAAAACAGTACTCAGCTGACTTCTATTACTGAATTGAAAGAGAGTGTGCATCTCTGGCTGTTTAGTAGAATCTCTGCAAATGCACACATCTGAAACTAAATGTGACTCCCAATATCAAATTCCACAAGCTATGCATTCAGTCTGAACACTACTCTCATTATAACTATAAACTTCCTAACACTGAATACTAAACACTAAAGCCTAAACCCTAGCCACACCCCAACTTCAATCCTAGTCCAAAGAAAACACTAAAACTCACCCTAATCCTCAAACCCTTGCCCTAACCTCAGATTTAACCTAAACCTTCATCCTGATGCTACAGTTTTAAAAGTATGAGCGTTTGGTCTGTGCCTAAAGTGGTTCATCAGGACAGTGGGCAAAGAGGGAGTCTCTCGCCTTTGCTCACTCTGCCCAGCCCCACAGCCTCCTGGCCGATCCCCCACTTCCTTGAAGTCTTTACTCAGAGATGTCACCTTCCACAAAGAGTTGAGGCCAACTGTACAGTTAGAGAGAACAGTCCCTGTAAGAGACCACCTTCACTTCTGACACCAACTGCCAAGTTCAGGAGGCTTCCCAAAACCACCCTCAGGTTTGGTAATTTGCTAGGAGGACTCAGAACTCACTGAACGCTGTTATACTCATGGTTATGGTTTATTATGGGGAAAGGAGACAGATTAAAGTCAGCCAATGGAAGAAATAAAAATCAGCCAAGGCAGAGTACAGAAGGAGTCCAAACATAAACCTTCCAGTTGTCCTCTTCCTGGGGAGTCGTAGGTGACACGTATCACCAGCAGGCAGAGAATCCATTTTACCTATGTGTTTACTGTCTCTTTCTCTCCCCTAGGAATGTAAGCTCCATGAGGGTAGGGAGTTTTGTCAGCTTTATTCACTGCTATGTCACCTGCTCCTAGAACTGCACCATCTGATAACATTGCCACAAGCCACCTGCGGGTAGTGAGGGCTTCAATGGTGGTTAGCCCAAATTGAGGTATACTGTAAGTATAAAATACACACTGAATTTTCAAGATTTAGTATTAAATTTTTAAAAAATATCTCATTGATAATTTATTATATTGGTTATATGTCAAAATGCTATTTGGGACATATTGGGTTATATAAAATATAGTATTAAAATTCATTTCACTTGTCTCTTCTTGATAAATGTATTTAATATAGCTACTAGAAAATTTAAAATTTCATATGTGGCTCAAATTTGAGGCTTGATATACATGAGGAGTCTTCAAAAAGTTCGTGGAAAGATTCACATTATCCTTTTTATTTTATTTCATTTTTTCATGTATTTTGGTGATATTTTATTAGGAGCAGATTTATACCCGCAGGGGTGTCATGGGGAGCAGTGGGGAAGGAGAGCACAGGCTTCTGACTGTGCTGCCCACGCACCTTCCCCAGCACTGTCTCCTTCATCCTGGGCGCCTGGCTGGACCAGGACCTGAGGATTTCTGACCATCTTCAGCTCCCTTTCCTCCAGATGCAGGTGACCACACCCACCTGAACGTGCCCGGTGTGGACCTGCAGTGCAGTGTCCAGCTCTGCCTTGCCTCACTGCAGCCCTGGGGCCCACAGAGGCAGAGCCAGAGGGTGAGGAGAACTAGGAGTGGCTGCATATGAACATGTGACCAACTGGGCCACACAGAGGAGCCTCCAGAGGCAGGCAGACTGGATCCCGTCAGCTCAGGTGTCCTGGCTGGAAGGGTCTGAGAAAATCTGGTCACGACACCATCACCCAGCTCGTGGTCCCCAGCAGGCTTGCTTCAGGTCAGATGGACCAACACACTGCCACCCGGGCACCCTTTCAGTGGATCCAAAGTCCCTGTCCTTGCTGAGCCTCACCTGAGAACAGGGACCCAGGAAAAGTCCATGGGTGGCCAGGACCCATCAGACCCTCACAGGAGAAACCATTCCTGGGGACTTCCAAGCCACAAAGCCATGTGGATAAGCCCCAGAGCAGGGAGACTGCCTTCTGGCTCAGGTCTTCAGGGTGCCAGGTCCTCCTGCAGGTGCTAAAGAGACACAGTAGCAGCAATGGCCTCCTCCAGCTGCTGCAGCAGCTTCTCTGGTGGCAAGAACACACTGGTATCCAATTTTTGAATGTCAGGGTGCTCGACCACAGATGCCAGCACCTCTGCAATATGGCCAACTTTGAAAGCAGACTGCTGGGGGCCCAGCCTGGTGGCTATGCCACCTGCCTCCAGCCCCTCCCCTAGGACAAGGATCCTCCTTTCAGAGATGACCTTCAGGAAGTGGTAAAATTCTTCAGAATTGATCACTGCACATGACCTCATGATGACCTCCTGTTGCATGATGTGGAACTCCTGCTGCAGGAAATGCTACATGTTGAGCAGGTTGTAGCCCCTGATCCAGTTGTGGTTGACAGAGATGGGATTGTCCTGGAAGTGGCAGAACCCACACTGGCCCAGGAGCCCATAGTGGGCACTGTCCCCACTTCCTGCCTGATCTGCAAGCACTGATCAGGGCCTCCTGTGCCAGGCCCAGTGTCCTGGGTGGGCAACATGGGACCGCCACAGGGCTCCGGCCCTCTCTTGCCTCCCAATGGTGCCAACTCAGCAGGGAACAGAGTGCTGGGCTGGGGTCCTCATAGTCCACAGCTCACTCAGAGCATGTGGGCCCAGGGAAGGGATGTGGCAGGGAGTGACAAAGAGGGCTGGGGCTGTAATGGAAACGTAACTTTAACACTTGCACAATTTACCAATGCCTGTATGACTTTTAACCTGCACAAATTATTCCTGTAAGCACTTACTAAAAAAGCAGGGAAACATATCTAAAGGTATTTTAAGTGAAGCAGCTTTTTAGAGGTCAAAGCAGAACTAGACACACATTGCAGGGGCCAGCCGGTCTCAAGGACTAAACAGCCCTCTTATCTTCAGGACACCTGGCAGAGCCCAAGTGATTAAAAAAAAAATTAAACAGTCCCTTATGGGGGTGGGGGGGCGGCTAGCCTGTTAAGCCTGACCATGAAAAAAAAGTCTTTGTCCAAAGAAAGTGTATAAAAACTCTCACGTCAAGGAGCTAGGGGCCGCTTTTCCGAAAGACAAAGCGACCCAGCATGCTTAAATTGCAGCGATCTCTTGTCTCGTGGTCTCTGTGAGGCGAGTCACTCCGGCATGTAGGATTTGTGCTTGGTGCACGGGTCTCACAGGGCCTCAGCAATGCTTCAGGAAGCCCCATGTCAGGCCCTCTCTCCCAGAGGGAAGATCAGAAGGGTTGACACTACCCTTTTTCTGCAGGAAGGCAGGAGACAGGAGCTGCAGGAAAGCAAGGGTGTTACTCTTCCCCCTGTGTAACCAAGAAGGAAAAAAGAGAAAGAAAGAATTCACTCAAGGTAACATCAATGAGGCCTGGAGGGACTGCCGCCCATCAGGGGAGCAGCAGCCCTGATTCAAAACCAGCCTTTCTTTTTATTGACAAGACAAGGAAGTTTCACAAGAAAAATCAGTTGATTCAGGGCCGGCCCGGTGGCGCACTGCTATAGTGCGCTGCTTGGAAAGCATGGCGGCGCTCCCGCCGAGGGTTCGGATCCCACATACAGACCGGTTCCCACTCACTGGCTGAGCGAGGCGCGGGAGCAGCACCGAGGGTTGCGATCCCGTTGCCGGTCCCGGTCCGGTACAGGGGCGACACTGAGGGTTGCAATCCGTTGCCGGACACGGAAAAAGACAAAAAAAAAAAAAAAAATGAAAAATCAGTTGATTCAATCACCAAAGAAGGACATAAAAACAGGCAGTGTTACAGAAGCGAATTATAGCTAAGTATAGCATTAAACAACTAAAACTAGTAATAGCAGTAAAATTAACAATGTGACATTCCAGAATGCATTTCTTAAAAAGCTAAGTTGATCCACCAACAGCTTGCCCTTAGTAAACGTTTTCTTTTCCACATACTTTCTACAGCAATTTCTTTAGCATATTTAAACAGCATTCAAACAGTTTCCTTAACATATCTAAAGAACAATCAGTAGGTTAAATAGTCAATAGTCATTCAAGCTGGAATTAAACCAGCAACCTAAAACAGTCAAAGTATACAATCCCATCCCTAAACAGTGATTAGAATTGATTACATGGCTTTTGCCAAACTAATCCATGGACTATTGTCCCCTACTCAAGAGCCTTTTGGCTCATTCATGCATCACTAAAAATCCTATTCTAAGATCAAAGGAGAATCAAGATTTCTAACCCAGTACACAAGGGCCTGTGTGGCCTCAGGCGAGTGGCAAGTGGGACGTGTCCACCTCACCAGGTTGCTGACCTGGTAGTGCCACCTGCTGGGCATGAACACCATCTCCCCAACCTCCTGCATGGCCCAGGGATGTGGCCTCCAGGGCATGACCTCCAGGGGCGGGCTGCCTGCAGGTGCACTGTGTGCAGGTGGGTGTGAAGTAGCACAGGAGAGGTCACATCATAGGGCAGGCCTCAGTGGCCATCCCACAGAGCCTCATTCTGCCCAAGAGGGAGAAAGAACCACCTCGTCCTCCTGCAGATGCTGATGAACCATGTGAAGGAATAGAAGATGTTGATGGGGAAGAGCATCCTGTGGCAGCAAGAGCTCCTGGTTCCTGCCTGGCAGGGGCAGGTGTGGACTTCACTGCTTCAGAGTGCACTGACTGAGCTCAGCATCCCAAAGGCCTCTTAGTGAAGGGGGCCTTTATTCATGTGGGACAAGTGGCCCCAGCTCTAAGACCTCTACCAAGCAGCCCCTCTTTTCCTGACAACCTTGGCCTGAGAACCCAGTATGGCCACACCTCTCACCCAACCCCTTAACCAGGTGCCTGTGGGACCCACAAAGACAAAGCAGTAGTTGTCCAAGTCCAGGGCATCCCAGAACTTGTGCAGCCAGGTGGACAAGAGCAATGCGAACACATCCTCTGTTGAGCAGTCCCTGTGGAGTGGCACAATGCTGCGGCAGGAGCAGCGGGACTCCACCTTCCTGGACTCCACCCTCACTGGTACTTCAGGTGACATAGAGAGAGCTTTGGAATGGCATGAACAGGGCCACCTTAGACACCCAGCCCTACTGAAGCTGCCAGATGACTCCAGCCCCTTGAAGGACCCAAGCTGAGCTCCACCTAAATTGCTGACCACAGAATTGCAAGCAAACAGGCTGACTTTGGGATGGCTTGTGACAGCATAGATAATGCGGATGGACGGTGGCCCTCTCTCAGACCCATCCTGGGAATTTGGCTTCTGGCTGAGCTGGGGGCTCTAATGCATCATCCACATCATCGTGGTTCCTGAATCGTGGGTCTCCTTCACTTTTTCACTGACACCAGCGAACTTCAGCACTGCCTAGTGGATTGCAGGCTGCAGGCCCGGGCATAAGGGCCACCCCTTTACCCTCTTACTGCCCTCAGGTCCATCCCCACCACCCCACTAAAGGGCACCCAAACACGGGAGCCTATTAAACCAGCGCCGGGGAAGGCCTCATCTACCAATGCCACCCTGGAAAAAGCTTCTGGATTCACTCGCACATAACTCCTGGTCAGAGATGAGGGCAGGGGAGAATCCCAGGAGCACCAAACCACTTTGTAGTTCCCCAAAACACCATGTACCTCTTCCTGTCGTGCCTTTGTGCACCTGGCAAACTTCTATTCATCCATCAAAACCCTGCTCAGATATTACCTGTCTTGTGGCCTCCCCTGACTACCTGGCGCCAGGAATCATCTACCCTTATTTTTTAGGGTTGCCAGATAAAACACAGGACACACAATCAAGGTTGAATTTCAAATAAACAAGGAAAAATTTTCTAGTATAAGTATGTTCCATGCAATATTTGGGATACACTTACATAAAAAACCACTCGTTGCTTATCTAAAACCCAAATCCACAGTGCGTGTCAGTGTTTGAGTCTATGTGTGCATCTCTGCTAGTGGAACAGGACATCCCTGAGGGCCAGGACCAGTGTCTGGTTGTTCCTGACCCATCATCTACCTGTGCCAAACAAGCAGCAGTGTGGCAGAGATGAGTGGCGGTGCTGGTGCTAGGTGCTTCTCGTGCACTCTGGATTGCTCATGGGAATCACAGGGACCTGAATTCTACCTCATTCTACCTTTTTGAGCTTTAGTTTCTACACACATGAGAAAAGAATTTGTTCTCTTGATCACTTGCCATTACCTGAGCACCTACACCGCCCCAGCTGGTGGCGTCTGACTGCCATGTTTCTCCTGGTGAAAAGCACACCCCTGGTGAGGGAACAGACACACCACCCAAGAACTGCCTTGGAGAGGGGGAATGCCAGGCAAGAGAGGGGTGGGTGAGCTTCCCAGGGTGGGCACTGTCTGAGCTGGGTCTCGGGGGCAGGTGAAGCTCCCAGGATGAATACATGGTAGATGGCGGCAGACTGGAAAGGGTTCAGGATGCCAAGATAAAGAGCTGGAGACTTTAAACATGAGGCGGGAAAGGGCTGGACTAGGAAGATCATCTGGACCGCCTTTAGAGAGCCTAGCAAGGGGGAGCAGGAGGTCAGGAGACCTCAGCAGCAGCCCAGGCAGAAGGGGACAGGCCTGACTTGGAGAAGTGGGGTGAAGAGGAGGGGTCTGTCCCAGGGGCATCTGAGGCAGGGGAGAGGCAGTGCTGCAGGTTAGAAGGGAGGGTGAAGAGGGACCATCAGGGACGATTCTGGGCACACACGGTAAAGAGGTGTGTGACCACAGCCCGTCTGTGTTCCTCACAGGCAACCAGCACCCTGCAGGTATCCCAAGGTGTTGACCTTCCCAGAGGAAGATGCTTAAAACCAAGATGAAGGCAGGTTTCTTTCACTCTGATTAAAATTCCTGACCAGGAGAAAGAAGATCTTCCTGGGGCAGCCGAGGCCGCCTCCGTCAGAAAGGCCTCCAGGTTCCTTCAGTTCTAGGGAAGGTGGTGTCAAGCCCGTGCCCCACGCCCCTTTATCTGCAGAGGTGCTGTTATTTGAGGTGGAGGCAGCCCCCTGGAGAGGAGCAGCGCCCTGGCTGTACTCTCTGCAGTAGCTGATGGTGTCTCTGACGGACACGTGTTCTCGGGGTTTCCAGTTGTATTCCCGTCGCCAGTTTGCAACGCGTACAACCACGTGTCCTCCTTCCGGAGCAGGCAGCTAAGTCGGGCTCCCCAAGGGGCGCCACCTGGCGGAGGCGCTGGAGAAGGCGCAGGGCCCGCAGGCAGCAGACAGCCCTGGAAGAAGGTGGCCAAGAAGAAAGTGTCGGTCTCCTCCGTGAAGGCCATTGCGGCCTGGCCTCGCAACCGCCACCCTGTACACGACCCCCAAGGCCTCGGAAGCGGCCTCGGTGAAGGCGCGCGTCTAGCGGTCCGCAGCCCGGGCCAGGCGCGGGGCGGGATGCGCAGGCTCTGCAGAGAGCTCCAGGCCGGTGGGAGGGTCGCCCGGCGGGCTCCTCCCGGCCCGAGTGAAACCCCGTTTTTATTTTTTCTTGCAAGCATAGGTAGCTTTTGTATTGTCTTTAAATTCCATTTTTCCACAAACTTTTTAAAGTCCTTCGCATATACATATATATGTGTGTATATACACATATGTATATTGATCTAGCAGAGATGTCAGTAAACTTTTTCTGTAAAGGATCAAATAGTAAATATCAAAAAGAAAAAAAAAAGGTAGTAAATATCTTAGGCTCTGTAGGCCATAAGGCCTCTACTCAGTTATGCCATTGTAGCATGAAAGCAGCCATAGAAATACTAAGTGTGGCTGTGTTCCCATAACACTTTACAAAAACAGGCAGCCGCACAATTTGGCCTATGGGCCGCAGTATATGAATCCCTCAGCTAGAGCATTGCTTGGTCCCTAGTAAAGATTCAATAAAGATTTGTGGAGTGAATGAATAGAAAGAAGTCTGCAGCTTGCAGGGCAAGATAAGATAATGTTGGAGGAAATCAGTGGCCAGAGAATATAGGGCCCATTACCCATGAATTTTATTTTAAGCCACTGGAGGAATTTAAGTGGGATAGAGATAAAGTCTGACATAACGTTGTAAAATATCACTGTAATACATGCTGTAGTTTGGCACCCAGAACTGCCCCCTCACCCCTTTCAGAACTTATTCTGGGTGTTGGTGGCTGAATGAGGCTCAGGTGAGTCCTTCTCCAAGGGTTGCCCATGGCTAAAGAAAGCTGCTTCATCCAACGTCACACCCCTTTCTTGGAGTCAACCAGTGTAGCTAGGGGCATAAAGGCCTGGCCTTCTTTCCCCCTGTGCACACAACTCAGAAGAGCTACGCCAATTCCAGAGCTCCCTACAGGATTGACAGCTGTGACCCTGGTGCCGCTGCATTTCATTTTAACTGTCTGCCCCACTCCTATGTTCACAGAAATCCATCTGCTTCCATCCCTCTCCCACAAGTGTTGATCCCATGAGCACTCCCCAAAAAACTTCCTGCTTGCAAATCTGCATCTCGTAATCAGAGTCCCAGGGAACGTGAGCTGCAATAGGTCATACCAGGAGTGGTCTGAGAAAACAGACTCCTAAAGTGGGGTTTTGGAATTGATTACCTGTCAGCTAGCTGGCAATGAGAACCCCATTGCTGGTCGTAGGTGAAGCATGGAGAGCCCCTGGCAAGCTGCAGCAGTGCAATTGTGAACACTGTCACTGGAGGTGAACTGGGATGGTACATAGAGAGAGCAGATACCTGGGTGGATGCAATGTAGCAGGCCTTTGGGAAGTATGGAGAAGAGTGATTATAAAAACAAGGGGGCTGGATGGTTATTTCTGGAAGCCATTGAAGCATTGGGGAAAGACAGTGCCAAGGGTGAAAGCCAGAGGGCCTCCTTAGCAGCATATAAAGAGACTCATATTCTGACTTCTGATCAAGATGGTGGACTAGATGGTCCCAGCATCACTCTCTCCCACAAATCAACCAATTTACAACTATTAAAAAGCAACAACAGCCAAGCTGGGGCTGCTAGAGCTCAGGGGAAGACGAGGAGAGACCTACAGAGTGCATGAAGGTAGGAGAAGCCACGATGAGAGAAAAAAAAAAAAACTGCTCTGACCATTTCGAGCCCCGGTCACTTCCTGGCTGGAGCTGCTGAGCACATGCAGCAAGAGCTGGCAAAAGCTGTATCTGTGCCCTTCCTATGAAGTTACTTGGAGGTGGCAGGGAGAAGGTCCTGCGGCCCCCAGGTCAGCAAGACCACTAATAGGGTTCCTGTGGACCCACATAGGAATGAGGAGCACAACAGTTGAAAAAAAGGAGTCACTCAGAGGCTGGGGAGTAATCACAAGGGATTGGCACATGGCCTGTCCCATGGGAAGTGTTTGCAGCACGGGCAGTGGGAGAGATGGGCCCACAGGAAGAACACTGGGGCATAGCAAGGACAGCTGATCTGCACCCCAATCAGTGTGGGACCACTCAGAGGAGACTGGTCAGGAATATAGAATTGCAGGGGGTGCAGTTTGATGAAAAGACTCAGGCACAGACCAGAGTTTCTACACAATCAAGGTGCACCAGATTTCAGTAGACCCAAAGTACCTATAAAGTCAACCATTAAAACCCGAGCTGTACAAAAAGCCTTCCCGCAGTTTGATGAAAAGACTCAGGCCCAGACCAGAGTTTCTACACAATCCAGGTGCACCAGATTTCAGTAGACCCAAAGTACCTATAAAGTCAACCATTAAAACCCGAGCTGTACAAAAAGCCTTCCGTAGGGAATCAGCAGGAAAGCCGCAATTTAGCTAAACCACTGGTCCCCACAGGAAGTTCCCCCATTTTAGAAGTAAGCAAAGGACAAAAAATTAGTTCCAGTGCAGAGCGTAAGTGGTAAGAGCAGCAAATAATCCAACACAGAACTGAAAGGAAAAACAAAGTACCCACAACCAGAGACAGTTTGATGTTAACTAGTAAACGTCGCATTTCACCAAAGAACACCTATAACACCTAGAAGGACCAGCAGTCCCCTGGGCTACCAAGCCAGAAAGGGGGAGAGCTGGAGGCCTCAGCAATGCCCCCGCGACACCTGCAACTGGTCTCAAGGGTGGGGGATGAGGGCCTTGACCACATCCCCTGGCACGTGCAGCCACCCCAGCAACAACCACCAAGCCACTGCAGGAAGTGCCCCGGGCTCTCCCAAGCTGGGGTGGTGGGGGGCGAGGGCTTTTGCACCACCCACCTGACATCTGCACCCAGCCCAGCAATGACCAAGCCACTGTTGGAAGCCCCCTGGTCTCCCCTGTGGGAATGAGGGAGGTGCCACAGGCCACAATACCACCCCTCCTCCTTCGTCCTTCCATCACATTTCCTTCCCTTTGTCCTCTCCCCCTCCCTCCCAACTGCTCTGCAACAACATCCTAGAATGTAAAAAAATAACATTAATAAAATTACATTTAAAAAAAAAAAAAAAGACAGACTCATATTCTGCATCCAGTGGGCAGAAAAGACTGGGGGATCCAGAGCAGACAGGGAGACCAGTAAGAAGGCCATTGCAACAGCCCAGGCAAGGGATGGTACTGGCTTGGCCGGGATCCTAGCAGCAGAACTAGGGAAAAGTGGTCAGATGCTGGCTACATTTTGAAGATAAAGTCAACATAATTTGTTATGGTGTTTGTATTAGTTCCTATTGCTGCTGTAACAAACTACTACTAATTTATTAGTTTAAAACAACACAAATTTATTCTCTTAAAATTCTGGAGGTCAGAAGTCTGAAAAGAGTCTTATGGGGCTAAAGTCAAGGTGTCAGCAGGGCTGGTTCCTCAGGGTCTCTGAGTGGAGAATCCATTTCCTGACCTTTTCCAGCTTCTAGAGGCCACCCCCCATTCCTTGGCTCATGGCCCACTTCATCTGCAAAGCGCGTCACTCCAACCTCTGCTCTCCCCTCACCTCTACTTTTTCTGACTCTGATACTCCTGCCTTCCTTGTGGTTACAATGGTCTCCTCTGGATAATCCATCCCTGTCTCAAAATCCTTAATTTTGTCACATCTCCAAAGTCCCTTTTCACATGTAAGGTATATTTACAGGGATTAGGATGTAGGCAATTTGGGGGGGGACCATTATTCAGCCTATTACAGGATTGGATGTGGGGGTACAAGAAAGAGGAGTCAAGAATCACCCTAATGCTTTGGGGCCTGAGCAACTAGAAGGATAGGTGGACATGAACCAACATGGGGAAGACACATGCTCCGAGATTCAGCCCTTTCTTCTTTGGAAGCCAAGTTCTGCCACTTCTTCCCTGTGTTAAAAGATAATTTTCAGAAAATAGTAAAATCATGACTCTCATACAGATGTAAAAAGTGAACACATTGAATAATTTATTTTACTTATGCCTATGTTTAAGGAAAACTCAAAACAGCACAAATTTATATGAAGTAAAGGAATGTTGAGATGAATTGCAGATGAGGACAAAACTGAATTTTCCACAGTGGGAGGGAAATTTTCCACACTGGTTGGCTCAGTTGGCTAGAGCATGGGCTGATAACCCCAAGGTCCATGGTTCAATCCCTCCCCCAGCCAGCTACCAAAAAAAAAAAAAGTAAAATTACTACCAGGCAGAACAGCATTTATATACCAGTTATTTACAACTTACAAAGAGTTGCTAAATAGCTCAAAGACAATGAACAGGCCTAGAATTTGATAACCCAGAAAGGTATGCTATGGGTGGTACATAGTTTTCTGTTGAAACAAAATTTTTTTCTACCCTTGATTCTTTTGACAGAAGTGCCCAACATGTAAGCCCAGGGAGGGCGGATTGAGTTTTTGGCTGGAGGGGACTGAGGATGTGGGTTTGATGTCTGCTGGCAAGATCCAACAAAGGTCAGGCAGAAAGAAAAACAAAAGTAACACATTTTAACACCAACATTTTATATCTTATTCTTTATAATACTTAACTGGTTATTCTTTGTTTCTAGAGAAACTGTTATGGACTCAAAGTCTGTGTCCCGCCTAAACTCATTCATTGAAGCCCTAACCCCAAAGTGATGGTATTAGGAAGCTGGGCCTTTGGGAAGTAATTAGTTTAGATGAGATCATAAAGGTAGGGCCCCGTTATGGGAATAGTGTCCTCATAAGAAGACAAAGAGAGACCAGAACTCACTCTTTCCCCCAGTGCACACACATAAGGAAGAGATCGTGCGAGCACACAGTGAAATGGCCACCGTCACCAGGAACTTAATCAGCCAGTCCTTGATCTTAGACTTCCCAGCCTCCAGAATGTTGAGAAATAAATGTCTGTTGCTTAGGCCACCCAGTCCTTGGTATTTTGTTATGGCAGTCACAGTAGACTA